CCTCGCCTCTCTCCCACACGCAGAGCCGTCCTCCTCATTCCCCTCGCCTCTCTCCCACACGCAGCCGTCCTCCTCATTCTCCTTGCCTCTCTTCCACACACAGACCCGTCCTCCTCATTCCTCCTCCCCGCTCTCCCACACACAGACCTGTCCTCCTCATTCCTCCTCCCAGCTCTTCCACACACAGAGCTGTCCTCCTCATTCCTCCTCCCTGCTCTTCTGCACGCAGAGCTGTCCTCCTCATACCCCTTGCCACTCTCCCACACACACAGCCATCCTCCTCATTCCCCCTTATGTGCGGTAATGTATCACCCAGCCTTTTGTTCCTCTCTTCAGCCCATGTGGAATGCACTGGAACTTAAAATGCACGCTCACACGCACAAGCATGGCTTGGTCAAGGCGTCTGTGTCTCTTTCATCACATTAGGTTTTTGAACATAGTTGCTGGTTATTTTTGACAATTTTTTTTACTTTTCAATCTTGTTCTTTTTTTTTTTTTACAGAATCCTGTTATTAGGTTTTATTCTTCTTTTTACAGGACACCATGGATTTAAAATAAGACACATCATATATAACATAAAAGTACAGAGATCAGGATATTACATCATAAATCCCAGTAACACAAAGTTCATATCAATGCTCATTTATAAGCACAAGGGTCAGGATATGACATCACATATCCCCATCATTTGTGGCTCCCATTGGTGTCATATATCCCAGCCATAAGGCCTTGTCTACCTTACTGCTTTGTCCTTTGGCTTTGATTCAATGTTATTAGCCCTTTTGACCTTTTTGTAATTGAAACTTTGAGGCACTGATCTGTGGAGTTTATTTATGAATTTTCTGATTCTTGAATGTTATCAGAAAAGCATGTGACTCAGCCATGTTTGTTGTGGGAGAAATATTTCCGGTATCTCGGTGTATTGTGGCAGCTCAGGCAGCTGCTATCAGTTCGAGTTCTGAGGGGAGTGAATGAGCTCCTGAAGCATGTTTAGAGGAGCAGTAATGGTGTATTTTCCCCTATGTTCCCCTATGCATTGAACATACAGTATAAACTGGGGATTGTAATCTGCCTATAATCTGGACATCTTGGGCATGATCTTAGCATACAGATATTTCCTCTATGATTTTTTATGTTTTATTATTTGATATATGACTAAAATGAACCACTAGAGGTCCCCATAGAATATGGAATCAAATGAGTGATGAGCAGGGGCTTAGCAACCATGGAGTAAATGTGGTTATTCTTAATGTATATAATGTATACTGTACCTAGTACATTTAGTAAATATGCCATAAGGTATATATTTTAAGTTCTGACAATTTAGTAATCTAGTGAGGCAGCTTGTTGGTATTTGCGTTTATTATTTGTACAGCATGAGACTTATTCGCAAGCACTAAGATACACTTTGTTAGCAAACAACACTGATCAAAATTTCAAATTCATAGATTCATAGTAACGACAATTAACGGGGAAAAAATTAATAAAAGTACTGTGTAAATAGACAGCCACTTAACCATCTCATTTTCTGAATGATGCTTATTTTAAAGTGCTGACATTTCCTACAGACGACACAAACAAGTGCGTCTGAGTGCCTTCTTCCTTAGATGGAAATCGTTTAAACACATTCGGCTGATAAATTGGACCCTAAAAGGCCTGGGTGGCAGCACGTAAACAGGCTGTGCCCATGCTGCTTACCGAAGCAGGAAGCCGCGCACGGGGAAACCCCGTCCCCACACCGATCATGGCGGAGCTGGTAATACTGGAAATATGTGAAAGATTAGATGGAGGAAACATTTCCAGGCTTGTGCCCGAGGCAATCCCTGTGGCTTTTGTTGTGGCGTTTGTCTGAGAGCTCACCTCTGTCATGTGATACTGCTTGACCGCCGACGCTTGCGGTACAGAGCCAAGATATCAGTGTCTTTCTCGTTTTGTCATGGAAACAAAATCCACTTACTGTATGCGTCCTTAGCCGGCACGCCACCTGCTGTCTGATATGCATTTATATGTAGGTACAGTACTGCTTAATTTTTGGGCTTTATTTGATTACACTTTTTGTGTTCAAACCACAAATAAGAGTTTTTCCATTTATAGTGATCAACAAGCACGCCCTTAACATTTCCAATCAGGAATGTCTCTAATCCTCATAATTCATCTGAAGCACAATTATGGTTTGTGGTATAATACTGGCCTGAAAGGGAAAAATTATATCTTGAAGCATCAGCTTGGTTAGAATACTGCAGGCCTTGGCCGTATTTCGTCCAATACTCAATTTAAGTCAAATTAGGTCATATTGGTTTATGGGTTTTATTGATCAATGCAAATATCAATAAAGGAGCATTTCTAGGATCTGTGGCTTGTTTGGAGATTTGGGGAGCTCACCAGAATGACCTCTGTCTCTGGCTGCTCTGCGTGCCCTCGAGCCTTCCTCTGAGGATGTATTAATCGACTGTTCATCACTGTTTACGGGTGCGTTGAGCCCACTGGAGCCGTAAAGCAGGATTACGAGGCCAGAGGATACTGTGCCCACAAAGTCGTCCTGCTGCACCTGGGAAAGGACAGAATCACCCAGCTGGGCTGTTTATCTCATGCTGCGGGTCTGTACAGCCCAGGAAGCTGCTGAAAATGGGGAAATTCAATCATTTCAGTCGAGAGCAACTGTTTTTCAAAATATTTCGCAAAATATGTCCAGACAGATATAAACAGCACACAGGCCGGGGCACATGGTTCATTTACTGTGTGGTCGAGCGTTAGAACGTAGTGTGATTGCTGGTGCCAGACGCGGTGACCAATGCGTCTCAGAAACAGCCGCTTTCCTGGGATTTTCACAGTTTACAGAGGATAGTGTGATGGACAAAAAGCATCCAGTCAGCAACAGCTCTGTTGCTGAAAGCACCTCATTAATGACAGAGGTCAGAGGTCAGAGGAGAATGGCCAGACTCGTCAAAGTTTACAAGATGGCCACAGGTGTAAAAATAGGTGAGAACAGCAGGAGTTGAAGCAGCCCTGGAGGCAAAGGGCAGTCCAACACGGTGAAGGTGCATGTGATGAAGTGGCCAGTTAGATTATTAGCCTCCTGACT